AGGAAGGAAGGAAGAAAAAGAAAGAGGAAAGACAGACTAGGGGTTCAGCTCCATGATTACATAGTATGTACAAGGCCCTGCATTTGAACCCCAGCACTGCAAAATAAAGAAACAGGGCAGTTCAGAGCCTGGGGTTTCTCTTGTTCTGAGTCCTGGGAGTTGGACCCGCACACATGCTAGGTAAGTGCTCTACCACAGAGCTATCCTCTCAGCCCCTCACTCTCTCAGTTTTCTGAGATACACACTGATTCCGAGATTCACACGGATGTCTGTTAGCTTTGGCACCAAGCAGAGCAGAGGTAGGTAAAACAAGCCTTTATCGCCGGGGTGGGAGGACGGTCAGGACTGCAGAGACCCTCAAACAAGGGGTAGGGTGTGTTGCCTTATATAGAGGCGGATTAGGTAATAGCGAGGGGGAGGTATGTAAGGCACCGTGGCAAAATTGTATTGGATGCGGTTGGCACACAAGCTAAAAAGGAAGCAGGAAGTTTATTTGGGGATCTGAAGAAGAACCAGGAGTGTGTCCTGGCAGGGTATGATGTGGCAGTTTTGATTGGGGCCATTTTGGGTCAGGCGCCATTTTAGGATTCTGGGTATCTATCAATGTCGATTATAGAAAGTGCTCCTATCTCAGAGATATTACAATCGAGAGGGAAAGCTTCATCCCAGATTTGATGAAGTAGGATTTTTCTGTTATCTTGGGTAAGTCATTCAACTCTTTAAGCCTTCCTTTACAAAACACAGACAGTATGATCTCGAGGAAGGCTCAAGAAGACCAAGAAATAATGTCTACTAAATGCGTGGGGATCATGTTGGGGCTGTTACTTAGGGTTTAAGCAGGAAAACAGGAACCACAGAGAGTACTGAATGCAGGATATTGGAGAGAGATAGACAAACCTGGCTTTTTTCTTTCTTATTTTCCACTGACCAAACCTAGGTCTGAAGTCAGCTGTATTGAGAGAAAGCTGTCCCCTTCAGTGTGTCCCCAGCTAGTGTGAGTCCTAGTTTTAGTAATATTGGAAATCAAAACTACAGCAACAGTATAAATTTACAGGATAAAAGCTGTAACTAGAAATAAGAAAAAACAAAGGATAGCATAGCTCTGACAAAAATCAAGCCTAGCCGGACATGGTGGCGCACACCAGGTGTGATGGGGCATGCCTGTAATCTCAGCACTCGGGAGGCTGAGGCAGGAGGATCGTTGTGAGTTCAAGACCAGCCTGGGCTACAAAGCGAGCTCAAGTCCAGCCTAAATTGCATAGTGAGACCCAGTTTCAAAAAGAAAAAAAAAAAAATCAAGCCTATCCCCTAACAAAGGAAAGCAAGAGAAATTAGGGAAAAAGCTGCAGTTTGAGAAACAGAAAGGAGTACAGGTCTGCAGGGGGCTTTTAATAAGTAATGGCTGGGGGTAATGGCACACACCTGTAATCCCAGCTCTCAGGAGGCTGAGGCAGGAGGATCGCTCTGAGTTTGAGGCAAGCCTGGGCCACAAGTTCAAAGCCAACCTGAATTACATAGTGAGACCCTGTCTCAAAAAGACCCACATATACACTAAAAAAGGTAACAGGCTTAGTTAGGGCCCAGGTTTGTCCTCTGTCCCTATGGCGGTCTGTATAATGGGGCCAGTCCTCTGCAACACAGCATGGAGCAGGACTACAAGGTCTGGCAAATGCCACAGCACCGACATTAAAGAGGAATTAGTCAAAGAGGCTCAATAATACTGTACCTTCACTTGCAGTCTTTGAAGTGTGTACTGAAGAAGGAGGTAACTAAGAAAACAGCTGGCAAAAGGACCCAACTTGTTTGTTTATTTATTTATTTATTTATTTATTGGTCTTTTTGAGACAGGGTCTCAACTATGTAGTTCAGACTGGCCTTGAGCTCACTTCGTAGCCCAGGCTAATCTCGAACTCGCAGCAATCCTCCTGCCTCAGCCTCCCGAGTGCTGGGATTACAGGTATAAGCCATCATGCCCAGCAAGAAGGACCCAACTTGGAGACTGTTTTCTGGGCTAGGTCCACCTTGGGAATTAAACCTTAGGCCAGGACCAGGGTACAACAGGAGAAAGTAACCAGGTAACTTAGCTTACACATAATAAGTCTCCAGGATGAGCCCAGTGGTCTTCAGCAACCCTTGGCTGATCCCAGCCCTAATTACCATCTCATCAGTCTATGCCGATTTGACCCTTGTAGGCTTTGAATACCATAATGGTGTCTTATACTTCTTCTGAGGGCCATAAAAGGTCAAAAACTGCATTGTCCTCCAGAGAAGCCAATTGAAACCACTCTGAGTTAAACTTCAGGCCAACCCCTTAATCCCACCCCAAATCCTAATGCTTAAAACCCTCAGCACCAAGTCCCCTCAGGGCTGTGCACCATGGCTAGATCCCGTTCTGTAGTGTACTTTCAATTTCAAATCTTTGATTCTGTTGTTACTTGTGCATGTCTTGCTCAGTTCTTTCTTCAGGAAATCAAGAACCTGGGCAAGATCCTTGCTCCAGTAAAAGTATTAGATGCATTTAACAGTTTTCTTAGCCAGACCTGTTGGGGCTGGGGGTTTAGTTCAGCAGCATGGTAACTGCCTGGCAAGCTTGAGGTCCTGAGTTTGATTCTCAGTACCAAAAAAAAAAAAAAAACACACAAGTGAGCCAGACCTGGTGGTGCACACCTGTAATCCCAACACTTGGTAGCCTGAGGCAGGAGGACTACTGTGAGTTTGAGGCCAGCCTGGGCTACAGTGTGAGTTCAAGATGAACTTGAGCTACATTTTAAAAAAAATTTTTTTGAGACAGGGTCTCACTGTGTAGTTCAGACTGACTTTAAACTCACTATGTAGTCCTGGATGGCCTCAAACTGGCAGCAATTCTCCTGCCTCAGTCTCCCAAGTGCTGGGATTACAGGCATGCACCACTATGATCAGCTGAAAATAAAAATTTCTCTTAAAAAATATACAGTAGCTGGACATAGTGCTGACGCCCGTAATCCCAGCTAGGTGGGAGACTGAAGCAAGAAGATTGCAAGTTCCAGAACAGTCTGGGGAGTTTAGCAAGAGCCTCTTTAAAAGTAATTTTTATAAAAGACAGATAATAAGAAACAGGAAGGTAGACTTTTTGCAGATGGGAGAGGGATCTAGGAATAGAGGGGGAAGACAGGAGGGGAGGGGAAAGGAGGGGGAAATAAAAAAAAGGCTAAGATGTGAAACTTATATGTACCAACTCCCCATGATTAATGTATTCATTATGTATTGCAAATGTGCCCCGCCAAAAAATTAAGGGTTGAGAGTGTGGATTGGCTTGCCTAGCATGAGTGAGAGGCCCTAGGTTTAATACCCAGGACCAAAGTGAAGGAAAAAAGTACTGTTATCCCCGTAGACTAGTTCATAACTCCTCTCTCCTCCCTTATTCACCTATCCCTATAAATTATCCTAAACTACTGTCTGGCCTATGTGCGTGTCTAGGTTGGAGGCTCAGTATCAGCCACTTTGGGTTTTCTCAACACAAGCCTCGGCAGGGTTTCTCTGTCAGAGGCAAGGCTCATCCACAGTGTGCCGGATGCAGCAGTGTCACAGCAACTGGACTCTGGTCTTGGGGCTCTCAAGAGATTGCTGTGACCGTTCAATACAATCTCTTGACTCAGGTTTAAAATACAGAAATCATAATCGGGTTTGGTGGTGCCTACTGTAATCCCAGCACTCTGGGAAACTGAGGCAGGAGTATTCCAAGTTCCAGTCCAGCCTGAGCAATTTAGCGAGATCCTGTCTCAAAATTTTAAAGGGAGGGCGCTGAGGATATAGTTCATTGTGAAGGTCCTCAGTTCAATCTCTAATACGAAAAATCAAACCAAACCACACATGAAAATCATAAGTATCCAGACGGTTTACACACGCCCACACTCCACGAGGTCCCTCTTAAGCCTCTTGTCCAGACGAGTCCCAAACAGGTTTTCAAAGAATGGATGAGCTCATTAAGGACATACATCGTGACCAAGATCACAGAACTGGCAAATTGGAAGGAAATTAGCCTCCACTTTTCCAAGCCGCAGCCCCCGTCCAGTCTTTCACCGTTTTTTTCTCACCGGGGCACCTGGATGACCTGTTCATGGAAAGGCAAAGGCGACCCCTCTCAAAAGCCGGGGACACCTGATAGCCCTCTGGCTCCAGCACCCACTCAGGGTCGGATGTCCCACGGAGACCGAGGCCCTGCACCGTCCGGGGAGCTGGCAGCCCGGCCCCACTGGGATTTTTAACCGAGCCTCGTGGCAGGGCGGAGCCACGCGTGATTGGCCGCGGGGCCGGGGCGGGACCAGGCGGCGGGCGCCGACGCTGGGCCTCCGTAAAAGCGAGCGGC